ATAATCACGGAGAAGAGAATCAGGAAAAAGCTGAAAGATTGCAGGAAAATTCGCCGACGGAAGCTAGGATTTTTGCAGGGAGAACTCTGAATGCAAAGGGATTTGGGGAAGACGAAGGTGGAAAAAGTCCGAAATTTCGCTAAGTACTGGTTTTATACTTGGGGAAAATTAAAAGGGAAAGAAGGAAGACCGTCGGATTAAAGCTAGATCGTGCGGTGGGGATATTAAATGGCACGATACTCCAAGCGGGCGCGTTAGGCGAGGGGGCGTCATCATTAAAGCATCTGACATACGCGAAAAGGTGGGACGCGTGGCGGAAAAGTGAGCGCGACAAGAAAGACGTGGGACAGGCAACTTTATTACTGGAAATTAATGAAGAATTATTCAAAAAAAAAATAGGCGGGAAACCCTTCAACTGGTCGACACCCAATAACGGGCCATCCAGAAGATCGATAAGCATGAACTCACTCTTAGATCGAGTCATTCAGACTCGACCAGAGTGGGGGGGACTAGATGATATCGGATATTATCTGTATAAGGACGAACCGATTTGGTGAGCCGGTCGAGAAGAGCAGACCGGGAGCAAACCAAGCCAAGAGGCGGGAATCCAAAGGATCGAGCAGCCCCAGGGCTCGACCACGTAAGCGGTCGAACACCCAAAGCTCGACTGCACTGGCGTTCGAGTAGCTTGGTGCTCGATCAGACTGCTCGAGCTACCCATCAATCGATCAGATAAGTGATCGATCAAGGTGAGTGATCGAGCAAGTTGATCAACATAAGCCCAGAGGCGTGTATAGCAGACGCGCGTGAGGGTCTTTGACTGGGCTTCAGGAGAATATTTACCCCATGTGCCGGGTAGACACGTGTCGACAGTGTATTGGGTGATAGCGATAACCACCTCTGACAACGCTCAAACGTCCCGCGGCACCTCTGACATGTGCGCGGCGTGTCAGAGTACGGACGGGCAGCCTGGGCAGCACACGTATTCTTATCCGGGCAGCTATTAGGGCAGGTATCTCACCCCTATAAAAAGGGGATGAGCCTTTCTTCCCTAAGACATTCTATTCACTTTCTAAATTCCAGTATACTCATACACATACTGACTTAAGCATCGGAGGCTCTTCACCGGATTCAACCCCCGGTGTGAGAGTTATTTGCAGGTTCTCGGCGTTCTACCGGCAAGGACAAGAATCGATCTACTCCAAACCGGACCCGGACGCTTACACTTGCATTAGGGAGTGTATGACCTGAAGAAATCCCTTCGCGATGTGACATGAATTGAAGCACCGCTATCGATCACCCAACTAGTCTCCTGGCAAGCGACATTGACGGCATCGCCTTCATA